GAGAGGAGGCTCGAGGCTGTGGGAAAGGGCAAACTCAGGTCCCGCCGGGGTAATTCACCAACCGTGACCTTGGGCAAGTCGTTTCAACGCTGCAGCCCTCCCCGGTTCTCATTTGTGTGCTCAGGATGATAATCTTTCTCCCGCAGGGTGGTTTGGGAGGATTAAAGTTAACGCACGGACAATGCCTGGTGCGCGGGGCCAAAGAGCAGCCGGTATTACTAAGGCTGGTCCCTGCCCTGAGAGGCTGGTGGTCGGTCTCTCGAGACGAGCAGACACAACCCAAAGTGAGTGTCCCTGTGAAAGTGTGTCTCTCCTGCATCGGTGGCAGATGTGGGCTTGGAAACTTCTCGAAGGAAACTGGCCCCTGGACGCTGCTTTGGGTGGCCCTGTATCTGGCCCATTTGCAAAAGACCACTGAAAACGAACCAGGTTTCCCATGACCGCATGTTTTCCGTACGAGTGCTGCCCAGCAGGGAGGCCCAGAGCCCGGGGGAGGTCCTGGGAGCCCGGCCGCCTGGGCTCTGGGCGTGGTTGAGTGGGGCCCCTGCCGGAGGAGGCAGGACATGTTCCCTGAGTGTGTTTGTCCTGCAGATCCGCCCCGGGATCCCAGCCAGCTAGTGATTTCCAGGGACTCTCACGCGTCTCTCCTCTTGCCTGGACCCGCTGGCCACACGACCCAGTGACCTCTTTCCCACGCTCACCGTCTGGTGGAGGTTGGTCCACATGCCAGGAGGGGTACCAGGGCTGGGCTTGTAGTCACAGAGCGTTCACCCAGGGCTCGGGGTGGCTGGACCCAGGCCTGTTCGAGAGCTAGGTGGGGAGACTGAGATGAGCTCTGAAATCAAGAAAATGGGGGGCAAGTCTCAAGTGTGACCCCGATTGCCCGCCCCTCTGTCCTGTTTCCCCATCAGAGAACCAGGCAGGTCAAGGGCTCCGGTGTCTCCGGCTCCCAGGCCCTCTCTGCGCCTGAACTTTGGCCTCAGCAAGTTGGACAATTTCTCAGACACCTCCCAGACTTTTGTAACCCGTGACTCTCTTGCCGGCCAGTTCCTTCCTGCCAACACCCACTCCCACCCACATGAGAAATACCTGCCCGTGGACGACACGGGCTCGGACAGGCAGTTTCCCAGAAAGGCCACGATGGCCCAATTGCCACAGCCCGAGGCTGGCAGGGCGGGCGAGCTGTGGGAGCTGCCGGGAAGCTCACGCCCTCGCCTCTCCCTGCCGGCCACCTCCAGACCAGCCAAGCCAGAAATACCCAGGCCCCCAAGTCCTCTTAGCACCGGGAACTAGGGCTTTCTAGAAAGTGAGAGTCAGGGCCCGGTCGGCCCCGCCATCCATCATTCCGGCTCAGCCCTTGCTCACCTGGGCTCGCCCAGTTCTGAAAGCAGCAGCGTCCCTGCCAGCTGAGTCACACGGGGATCCCAGCCAGAGGGCGACCGGTCAGCGGCGCAGGGCGACACCCTCCTGGGAAGGCGGGCCAGGGCCCCTTCTCCCTGGGCACACTGGCTCTGCCCCCTTCCCATTCTGCAGATGGACACCCCAGGCGTGGGGTGGGGAGTCCAGCACCTCCCTCTGGCCTCATGCAGGGAGCCAAGGGTCAGTATGGTCTGGGTCTGGCTGCAAAGCTCTTGCTGTTATCATTCTTCTTCTTTTTTAAAAATTATATATTTTATTGATTTTTTGCAGAGAGGATGGGAGAGAGATAGAGAGTTAGAAACATCGATGAGAGAGAAACATCGATCAGCTGCCTCCTGCACATCTCCTACTGGGGATGTGCCTGCAACCCAGGTACATGCGCTTGACCGGAATCGAACCCGGGACCTTTCAGTCCGCAGGCCGACGCTCTATCCACTGAGCCAAACCGGTTTCAGCTCATTCTTCTTTTTTATTTGTTTAAATATATATATTTTTAATTGACTTCATAGAGGAAGGGAGAGGGAGAGCGAGATAGAAATGTCAGTGATGAGAGGGAATCACTGATCGGCTGCCTCCTGCACGCCCACACTGGGGATCGAGCCCACAACCTGGGCATGTATCTTGACTGGGAATCTAACTGTGACCTCCTGGTTCATTGGTCAAATCTTAACCCCTGAGCCACATGGGCTGGGCCTTCTTCTTATCTATCTATCTATCTATCTATCTATCTATCTATCTATCTATCTATCTAAAACCCTAATGTGCCAATAGACCGAACAGCGGAACAACTGAACAACCGGTCACTATGACGTGTGCTGACCACCAGGGGACTCACATGGAACCTGGCGTCGGCAGCAGGTGGCAGAGTGTGGAACATGGTGGGTGTCGGCCGAGGCGGGATGGTGGAGTAGGTGAGCAGGGGCGCCAGACCAAGGCGGGGCGCCAGTCACTATCATTGGGTGAGCCTCTGGTGGTTACTGAAAATTCTTTGCTCCCGTGTGCCGCAGTCCCACCCAGCACTCGCATCTGCCACTGGTGCCGGCCTTGCTCGCACTTGCTGCCAGCACCGGCCCGAGCGAGGCCGGCCCGGGTCCTGAGTGCCTGCGGCCGGCCAGAGAGAGGGAAGCCCGGGTCCTGGGTACCTGTGACTGGCTGGAGGAGGGAATCCTGGGTCTCGGGTGTGGGATGAGGCAGAGGTGGTTAGGGGCGATCAGGCAGGCAGGCAGGTGAGAGGTTAGGAGCCAGCAGTCCCAGATTGCTAGAGGCAGTCGGACATCCCCCGAGGGGTCCTGGATTGGAGAGGGTGCAGGCCAGGCTGAGGGACCCCCCCCCCCCCGTGCATGAATTTTGTACACTGGGCCTCTAGTAATAAAATAAACAGTGACGGTGGTGGTTCCTGGGTGCTGAGTGCAGTTGGGCACTCTCATTTACAGGCCAGGCAGCTCACTGGATCTGCACCATGACCCGGTTCAAAGAGGCACCAATGGCTCTACTTTATAAAGAAGAAAAGGAAGGTTTTACTACCTTCATAGATTTTCCTTCTCCTCCACCCTGAGAGCCAGGATCCAGGGGCCAGCTCAGTGTCACACCCTTGTGGCACCAAGCCTGGGATGGAATGTTCACTCATTTACTCACTCATTCTCATTCACTCACTATCTTTCACGCACTCATTCATTCATTCATTCCCAGTGACCCACATGGGGGAAGCACATGTCAGTGAAGTGAACTCATTCATTCACTATCTTTCACTCACTCATTCATTCATTCATTCATTCATTCCCAGTGACCCAAATGAGGGAAGCACACATCAGTGAAGTGAATGAATGAATTTATTCATTCAAGATACATGGAGCGTTTCTCCTGTTCCAGGCATATCATGGGTGCTCAGTGAATCGTTTTCTGTCTTTTTTTGAGAAGGAGAAATACATGTATACCTCTGGTTTATTGAATTAGGAAATAAACTTAAAATTTAACTTTTTGAATTTTAGAGCCACCACATAGCAAAACAGGGAGGGGCACGAGGGATCCCCCTTTTCCTGGGCTCTCACGTGACAGGAGAGCAATGGGCCCAACGCCGAAGAGGGATGCCCCAGGGCACCCCACGGCCCTGGCCAAGCCTGGGCTTGCCCACCTGCCTTCAGGCTTACAACACGGCGAGCTACTCTCACAAAACAGCTGCTCTTCCCTGCGCCTGAGGACCCACGTGACTGATGGGGGCACTGAGACATGGGTGACTACAGCAGGACATGGGCTTGGGGGTGGGGACAGCAAGAGAGTGGAGAGCTGACCGTGCCCTCTGCCCCACTGTGGGTGAGGCGTCTGGGTCGGAGAGGAGCAGCGACCCAGCCACCGCAGGCAGGGCTGAGCGGATGCAGATGGGCCCGGTGGTGCCGCGGGCAGCGAGGTGTTTTGCTGGAGCGTCGGAGCCTGAGTTTGAACACTGCCCCTCGCTTCTGTGTGGCCCGTGAGGATCACATGAGTGACACTTGTCAAGGGCTGAGCACAAGTAAGCACCCGCGTTCGCTGGTGTTATCGTTCCCATCATTAGGCCCAGATGTGCCCTCCCTCCTTCGGTGACCTTGGGAAACCCCTTAAAGTCTCCCAGTCGATCCTCGGTTTCCTCGTGTGCTGGTGCCCAGGGCCTGGCATCCTGCTCGGCCAGCTCAGACTGCTAAGTTTATTTCCATTTCTTGGATAGGTTGTTAGAGTTCAAAAATCAGGAAAGGAGTCTGGATGCTGAAGAGGCAGGTGCGACCTGGGCGCGGGGGCTCAGCCCCCAGGAGTCCTGGCTTTTGGCAGCCTCCCCGGCTTCTCTAGGGCTGCTGGGCAGACACCAAATGTCCCTCTTGCCTCACCTGCTGGGCATTGCAACATGGGCCCAGCGCGAAGGCTAGGCTGTCCTCGGACAACCGCCTTAGTCATGGGAACCTGCGGAGCCCCGCCCAGCAGTGCCGGGCAGTCGGCGGTTAGGCAGGGGCCTGTGGGGAAGGCCTGGTTCTGCAGGTAGCCAGCCACCTGGAGATCCTCCCTGGAGACACACCTGGAGATCTCCATGTGCCCAGGGGAGCTGGGGGGCTTCCCTTGCTTCTAGTGAGATGGGGAGGCTCTGCTAGGACTGGTGTGGCTGCCTGAACTCCCTGGGAGGCATGGACCCAGCTTCTGTTCCTTGCTCTTCGTTGACCTGCTGGCTGAGCCTCAGGGTTCCCATCTGTAAAAGAAAGTGACTAGACTGGGTCTCTACCACCATCTCAAGTGGAAATTCCTCTAAGTTGGGTTCTCAGTTCCTTATTCCGTGCAGAGTGGGTTCCCAGTAGCTGTGACATGAGGAAGTGACATGAATGAATGAATGAATGAGGGAACAAAACACAACTCCTTCCTCCCTCCCTCCCTCCCTCCCTCCCTCCCTTTCTTTCATTCTTGTTGTTAATCCTCACCCAAAAATATTTTTCCATTGATTTTTTTTAAGAGAGAGTGGAAGGGAGGAAGCAGGAGACACAGAGAGAGAAACATACTTGTGAGAGAGACACATCAAATGGTTTCCTTCTACGGCCACCACAACCCAGGTCAGGGATCGAGCCTGCAACCGAGGTCCATGTCATGTCCTTGACTGGAATCGATCCCGGGACCCTCAGTCCTCTGGGCAACGCTCTAGCCACTGAGCCAAACCAGGGAGGGCTCATCTTCTTTCCGTCCCACAGATGGCTTGGCAGTGGGATCGGCTCAGAGCAGAATTACCCGCCCACCCCAGGGGGCTGCCGGCTCAGGTAGAAAGATTCTCTGCTCCAGGCGGCAGAGCAAACCAATTACAGTTTGTGTGTTTAGCATTTTGCACTCAAAACACTGAGGGAGGAAAGGTCATCTTCTGAAATGAGGCGCATCTTGTTGGCTGATGCTGCTTAAGTTTTTCTTTGGAGGCAGGGCCTGGTCAGGGCGGCCAGAGCTCGTGTGAAAAGGCCAGTGATGGAGGCCCGAGGTGATGCCTCCTCACCTGGAATGCCCTCTCTGCCAGTTCTCACCGGCCCTGCGTTACTCACGGCCGCCGAGAGCGGCAACCGGCAAGCGTGTGTTTTTAGCTCATGACTCAAGGCTGACTCAACACTGGGGACCGGGCTTTCCGTGGCCCCGAGCTGGGCTCCTGCTTCCTGGAAACGCCCGAGTTGTTTGCGGAGTCCTTCGACGGGGCCCAGGGAGCAGAACCATCTGGTGGGAGGTCGTGCCAACCTCCAGGAAGGTGAGCGAGTGGAGGCGCTCTCTTTAAAGCCGCAGAGCTGGGGTTGGAACCCAGCACCTCCTGACTTTGAACTTATTCTCCCCCTCTCTGCTCTAGGCAGGCCCCCTCTCCCCCTGGCCACCTGCAGGGCTCAGCGAGGCTGTCCTGGGCGCTCCTGGTGGCATGAAGACACCCTCGCCTTTGAAGCTGAGCCCACCCTCCTCAGGACAGAGGGGGTTTCTGGGTGCATCTGCAGGGCTTCTGGACGGGCCAGGGGATCGGATCCGGAAGATTTGCTGGGCGGGGGAGGGGCTGTGTCAGACCTCCTGGCCGGGCTTCCGGGCGATGGTGGGTCGTTCATCCCTGTTTGTGGGGCCATCTTGCTGGTGGTGCCTCTCCCCACCCGGCCGCCCCTGTGCTGGCCGCCCGGCCGGCCTGGCGGGAAGTGCAGACACTGAGCTGTGAAGGAGAGGGTTTGACTTGGCCTAACTCTGCGCTCCCAGACTTGTCTGACCCTGGAGAGCCTTGTCTTGTCTTTTCCTTTGCGTTGCCTTCTCTTCTCTCCCGTTCCCTTTCCTTCTTTGCTTTCTGGCCTCTCTCCGATCTCTGTCTCCCACGTTGTCTGGGCTGCCCCCTCTGCCCGTACTCCCCCCTTCCCCCCCCCAGGAGCAGCAAAGACCAGACTCTTTGGGAAACAGGCCCCTGAGAGGCTGAGGGGTAACCTCTCAGGTCCACTCTGAACGCACATTGGTCGGGGGCTGCTCTGGGCCTGGTGCTGGGTGGGGCTCTCCCCGTCCCTCATGGCCACCCGCATGGGGGGATGTCATTGTCCCCTGTCACCAGCGAGCGCACAGAGGCTCCAAAAGCCCGTGGAGAGCGGTGAGTGCACATATGCAGACGCTGGTGGGCTGCCTCGCCTGGTGCCCAGCACCCCCCCGCCCCGCGCCTCTCATGTGACCATAGACACTTTATTGGGTGATTGGTTTGTTTACTTATGTGTTTATTTATTCAATCCTCCCTCGAGAACATGCCTTTTTATTGACTCTGTAGGCAGAGGAAGGGAGGGTGAGAGAGAAACATCGATGTGAGAGAGGAGCATCCATCAGTTGCCTCCCCATGTGCCCACAAGCCAGGTGTGTGTCCTGACTGGGACTCGAACCGCAACCTTTTGGTGCACAGGACGAAGCTCCAACCAACTTAGTCACCCAGCCAGGACACCGTGGACACTGTCAATGTGTAAGGTTGGACTTCGGGTCAGCGGCTGTGGCACCTTTGACATTCCGCTTGACCACTTGGCAGCTCAGTGGGTGCAGAGCCCTGCCCTGCTGCGTGAGGACAGGTGAGAGGAGGCCCCACCGTCACCTCCGCACAGGTGAGCCGGTGGCGAGAACGCTAAGTCCAGCCGTGGCCTCCAGGTCTTGTCCTGAGAGCTGTTCCCAGCGGTCAGAGTGACATATGGCTCCCTGACACAGTGGCCATGGCGATGCTTTTTAACAGATTTGAGTGCAAGGACAACATCCGCTCCTTCGAGATACCTGAGGTGGACTCTGAGGCTGAGGGACGATTCTTGGGCCGAGGTTCTGTTTCGATGAAACCTCCCTCCCAGGGTCTGCACGATCTCTTACTGAGCAGTGACGATGCACGTCTGGATGGGCAGCAGAACTAAAAGACTGTCTTTTATCTCCTCCTCTCCTTCACTTTCTTTCCTCCCTTCCCTGCCCATCTTCCTGCGGCCTCCCCTCCCGGCCTCAGTTAGCAGGGGGAGGGCTGCTTGGTCCAGGGTGCTGCTGTGGGTGGTCCTGACGGCTGAGAGCATCTTCTCTCTGCATCTCTGGCTCTGGGCTCTGGGCTGCTGACTTAAGTGGGAAAATCTTCTTTGCAGATTTCAAAGCCTTGGAGACTCAACTGTTGATGGTGAATTAAAAAGAAAGAAAAAAAATGAGGCAAAATATCCCAAAGGCAGTGTGTGGGCAGGGCCCTGGGCCCCTACCCCTCCTGGCGTCAGATTCCAGGGGCTCAGGCACCGGGATCAGCAGCGCCTGCTCCGGATGGGCAGGAGGAACTCGGAAGGCTCGTTCTGTGCCCCGTGCCCCCCTGCGTGTCCGTGGAGCCAGTCACTCTGGGCCAGTAATAACCACGATGATGTTAGCAGCACACAGGGGCAGGACTGGAAATGGTTGTCATGCTTTGTGTGTGGTGGCTCCTTTAATGGTCACGATCTGATTCCACAGTAGAGGGTTTGAAGCACAGAGATGCTAAGCAACCGGATGGAGGTCACACAGCTCGTGGCGATGGAGCCGGGAACCCAACCTCCACAGGCTGACTCCAGGTCTGTGCTGCTGTTCATTGTTTTCAGGCTGCAAATCCCTTCATAGGGGTCAGCTCCCCAGACTGCGGTAGCTGCTGGGGGTGGGGGGTGTCTGCTGTGGGGCACAACTAGACCTCAACTCCAACCCCAGCATACACAGTTCTCCCTCCCTGCCTCCAGACCAGGGATGGGAGGGGGTGGATGTGTCACCGTGACAATGGGCAGACCCTCTGCCCTGGGGAGGTGACAGCACCGGGCACACAGGGAGAGGTTCACAGGATACATCGGAGCTGGGTCGGGGAGGATGGTGATATTTGTTGCTGCTGTTGTTGCTGTTTCTCCTCAGGGAGCTCTAGTCTAGTCCCTGGTGTCAGAATCGGTGGAATCCTAAGAACCCCGAAACACCAATCAGAAAGAATGTGTGCACCCCTATGTTCATAGCAGCACAATTTACAATAGCCAAGATCTGGAAACAGCCCAAGTGCCCCTCAGTAGACGAGGGGGTAAAAAAGCTGTGGTACATTTACGCCATGGAATACTACGCAGCAGTAAAAAAGAAGGGTCTCTTAGAGACAGCATGGAGGGACCTGGAGAGCATCATGCTAAGTGAAATAAGCCAGTCAGAGAAAGACAAGAGTCACATGATCGCACTCATAGGTAGAATCTAATGAACAAAATAAACTGATGAACAGAGTGGATCTAGAGACATGGAAGCATGGGACAGAGTGCAGGATCTTGGAGGCAAGGCAGGGGGAGGGGGTCTGGGTGGGAGGTAATCAACCAAAGACCTTGCATGCATATGTGCATGGCCCATGGACTTGGACAATAGTGTGATGAAGGCTTGGGATGGGGTGCAGGGCGGAGGGGGGGCGGCTGGAGGGAGTCAATGGGGGAAAAGGGGCACATATGTAATACTTTCAACAATAAAGATTTAAAAATAAGAATCAGTGGGACGTAGTTCCATTCGCTGTGCAACATATTTGCTGTGGGCTTTGCTCCGTGAGGGGGGCACTTTCAATTCACCTTTGGTCCCCTGAGCTGGTGATGTCACCCCAGCCAGCGAGCCAAGAGTGGATGGGCAGGTCTGTGGAACCCAGAGGTACCATGACAACCAGAGGTGGGCTTTGGGCCTGAGTGTGAGCAAAGCAAATGGAATTGTCCGGCCAGGTGTCTTCCCGGTTGGCGTGTTTCCTCACATCCACGGACTTTGCTTACTTCACTTATTTCCCTCTCCTGGAATAGTTTCTCCTTCCCACAGTCCCGTGGAGTGGGTGCTGAGTCCCACCCCCCGAGGATGAGGTGGAGACTGAGGGGCCCGGGGTCACCTGGAGTCCCGTGTGTGAGACCGGGGTCTGCGTCTCCCTCCAGGTTTGCCAGTGGTCCCCCCACGCGCTGCTTCGTTCTCAGGCAAGTGGCCGCTCCCCCTCTCCCATTTCCTGTCTTTTTTTCTTTAATATATTTTTATTGATTTCAGAGAGAAAGAGAGAAAGAGAGAAACATCAGTGATGAGAGAGAATCACTGATCAGCTGCCTCCTGCACGCGCCCACAATCCAGGCCTGTGCCCTGACCGGCGGGAATCTAACTGTGACCTCCTGGTTCATAGGTTGATGCTCAACCCCTGAGCCACACCGGCCGAGCGAGCACCTGTTTGCCATCTTTATCTCCCAGATCTTCAGGGAGAACAGCATGGGCGAGGAGACGGGCCCCTTGGACTGCACAGGCCCGCTCGGCGATTGCAGCCAGAGCTGCGCAGACTTCCCGGTCTGCTGGGCCGTGGAGGGCGCTGGGTTTGGAACCGAACACAGCTGCCCCCTTTGGAGCCAAAGTTTGGTTTCCTCTTGGACGAAGGCTGCTTCCTGGTTGCCGGGGAAGGAGAAGCGAGTCTTTAAAGGCCCGGGCGTCCCCTTGGCCTCCACAGCACGGCCTCCAACAGTTTGATGATTTAAGAGTCGGTGGATTAAAACCAGGTGGTCTGCGTTTCCCCTGAACGCAAGCGCATGTTGAACTTAAAGGAAAGTTGAAAGCAAGTCAGGGAAACAGCCTGGGCTTTGCTCAATGCCCCGACTTTGAAAACTTGGTGCGAGGTCTGTGCAGAGTCCTGGTCCCCAAGGGGCAGAAAGGACTCACAGGGGCCCCAGATCTCCCAGGACTGAGGTTTGAGGAGAAACGTAAAGCCTCCATTTTTTTTTCTCTTCTGGAGACCCGCTTCCATCCTCGTTTTGCACAAAGTAGAGCCACACGTGGGCCAGCCGACATTTACGAAGCATCTACTCTGTGCCAGTGTTCCTGGTGGGCTCGGTGCTGTTCTCTGGGATCCTCTGCTCTGCCCAGCTGAGCCCTCACTGCCCAGCCCCTCCAGCTTTGCCCCTGCTGGCCCTGGCTACACGCCCTTTCAGGCCTTAGTCCCCCAGCGCTCACCCACGCACCCACAGGATTCACTCCCTCGGTCCCCCAGAACCCACGCTCCACCAGCACGCGGAGTGATGTCCTAGGACTCACAGGGAGGGCCTCCTCCAGGTCCCGGTCCTGATGAAATCGTAATTGCTCCCTCAGAGACTCGGCCGGCCTGCGGGGAACTGTGATGCTGGCATTTGCTCCTCCGCTGAGCTCCACCCCCGTTTTTGGAGGGTTTCCCCGAGCCCCTTCCCTCTGGAGAGCCTCGCGTCCTGCAGGCAGTGATTTGACTTCACGGCACCGGGAAGGAATTCCGCTTTCATGTGGTTGGGAAGCAGAAGCCCACACAGATCTCCATGGGGTTCGAGGGCCAAGCTGGAGCGTATTGGAGTTTCTTGGGGAACCGCTCGCCGGGAACAAGGCCTGTCAGGGGCCCCTGCCAGTCAAAGCACAATGCTTCCAGCCTCTCCACTGTGCAAACAAACAGCCCGCGCAGGAGTCCTCCTGGGCTGCAGGCTTGGCCAGTGTCTCCCGGGCTTGCCGAGGACCCAGCTGGGATTCTGGGCAAAGGCACAGGAGCTGACGTGGGGTGGGACTGCCGGTGCCGGCCTCCTGGGAGACAGTTACATAGGTAATCCCGTTAAGCCCTCCTGCCAATCCAGGAGTCAGTCTCCTCCGCATTGCACGCATGAGGAAGTGGAGGCTCCGGGACAGTGGAGACGGGCCAGGACCCCGGGCTGCGGATTGGGAATGAATTCTGGGCGGGTGGCCCGCAGCTCCCGCACCGTCCCGCTCCCTTGCTGCCCCTGTCGTGCCACAACAGCCCCACAAGGTCAATATTTGTGTAAGGCTTGTGTTTTCGTTGGTGATATAAAGAACACGTGTGCTTTTCTTTACAGGAAAGCTTGAACATTTAGAAGCGCATGAAGAAAATTAAAATCACCTGTATGCTTGCCACCCAGAGAAACACACGCGCGAGTCTGTTTTGTTTATGTTCCCCCGCTGTTTAGACAGATAAGTAGACGGATCTGCGAGGAGAGTGACCTCACAGAGGCGCTCGCTGATGGAGAGCAAGGTTTTAAACACGGAACTCGGAAATCACCGTAGAGTCTGCTTTAAAGGGTTGTTTCTCCACTTAACATTTACGATGCAGTTATTAACCCCGTTTTCTTTCTTCTTCTTCTTCTTTTTTTTTTGTTAATCCTCACCAAGGATATTTTTCCCACTGCTTTTCAGAGAGAGAGTGGAAGGGAGGAAGGGAGGGAGGGGGAGATAGAGACAGAGAGAGAGAGAGACATCTATGTGAGAGAGGCACATCAGTGGTTGCCTCCCGCATGCGCCTGATGGGGAGGTACTTGCCCTTGACCAGTAATCAAAGCCGTGATCCTTTTTCTTTCCTTTTCTTTCATATATATATATATGTAATATTTTCATTGATTTCTGAGAGGAAGGGAGAGGGAGAGACAGAAACAGCAATGATGAGAGAGAATCATTGATCAGCTGTGTCCTGCACCCTCCTCCAACACCCCATACTGGTGATCGAGCCTGAAATCTGGGCATGTGTCCTGACCTGGAATCAATTCCTGACCTCCTGGTTCATAGGTCGATGCTCAACCACTGAGCCACACTGGCCAGGGCTTAACCCCATTTTCATGTGAGGCATTTGAAGCTCAGGGAGTGAAATGTCTTGTCTACACAGATCGGACCCGCCTTCCTTCCCACCCACTCCGTTTCTTCCCTCTCGGTACCCATATTCAGTTGCGATACCATTTGGGACATAAGTCAACGAGCCCATTTGCATTTCCCATTGGATGCTCGGGGCCAGGCTTCCAGTCCTGACTCCATGACTCACTAGCCGTGTGGTTTAGGCAACTCCGCTCTCGGTCTGTCTGTCCTACAAAATGGGCACATTTTGATTCAAAGTTCTCGTGCCCCTGACAGTGTTTGGGGTGGTGCTGGGCAGACCATCCTTCCAGCTCGTGGGGCATGTAGAGCATAGGTTTGGATTGCAAAAGCCAGTTTTTCCACTTTTTACTGTGAAAGCTCAGGAGAGTCAGGTGACCTGCCTCTCAGTTTTCACAAGAGGACAGTGATATCTGCCTCACGGAATTGTTATCTATATATATAAAAGCTTAAGCGACCGAACAACCAAACGACCGGAATGACCAGAATGACCGGTCGCTATGATGTGCACTGATCACCAGGGGGGAGGTGCTCAACGCAGGAGC